CACCCAGACCTACCACATCTCTCCCACTAACCAAAGCAGTCCCTGGGATCCCCGGCCACCATCTCACATCTCGGATTTCAGGGCGGCTCAGGGGTTCTGAGCCGGAAGCCCCTTAAATGAGTGTCTCTCCACATAGACAGTAAGGATCATGCGCTCCTCACAGCGTAGGTAGGGTGTAGTGTGTCAAACACTTCTCCATATTATCTTAGCACTTGCTCCCCACCTCTCTCCTAGGAGGGAGACACAGGAATTCCATCCTGACATAGAAAGACACCTGAGCTCAGAGGGGTCAGTGACTTGTCTAAGGATTCAGAGGAGGCAAAGCGGCATGAGAGCCGAGAGCCGAGGCTTGCTGGCTCCTGGCCTAGGGGCCACCTCCCTCCCTCCCTCTCTGCCTGGTGCGGTGCTTCTGTGTGCACCCTCTCATTGCTGCCAACACTCCCCCCCGGCAGTAAGGAATGCCATCCAGCAAAGCCTCCCACACAGGCCTGGCCACCACAGCTCCCAGATCCCACCCTGGGGGAGAGTTCTGTCTGTTGGAGCCTGAATCCAACCGCCGCTCACCTGCACCGCCCACCTCCAGCCGAGCCAGCAGCACTCTCCTTCCAGCCTCCCCCCCCCACACACACACACACCCCATGGCATCCTGCTCTCCCCACTTCCTCTTCACAGCAGCTAGATTCATCCTTTCAAAACATCTAACTGTCTTGCTCACAATCCTTCCCTGGCTTATGACAAAAGCCCAAGTCCCTCCTGCACCTCCCCTACACCCTCTTTCCACCCTCCTCCCACTTCACTCCCTCCCTGCACGCCAGCCACACGAGACTCCAGCTGCCCCTGGGTACCAAGCGCACTCCTGCCTCAGAGTCTCTTGCATTTCTTCCTTCTGGAATCTTCCTACTTCATCTTGTCATGTGACTCTCTCCTTCCTTGTTTCAGGTCTCTGCCTCAATGTCACCTTCTGAGGGGTCTTCCCTGACCCTCTGATCTAAAACAGCACCTGTCACTCTAGCCTGCCTTGAGTCTTCTTTTTAGCTCTTCTGGGCTCTTATCACATCCCCCATTAAATGTGGGCAGAGCTTTGTTATATATATATATATACTGGTATGTTTTTATTGATTTCAGAGAGGAAGAGTGAGGGAGAGAGAGATAGAGACATCAATGATGAGACAGAATCATTGATCAGCTGCCTTAAGCATGTCCCCTACTGGGGGTCAAACCTGCAACCTGGATATGTGCCCTGACTGGGAATCGAACTGTGATCCCTGGTTCATAGGGCAACACTCAACCCATTGAGCCACACTGGCCGGGCAGAGCTTCATACTTTTTACTGAGCACACGAGAGATACTGGGTAGATAGCTGTTCAGTGAATAAGTGAATGAATGTGTGGCTAACCCGGCTCAAAGGTGAAGATGCTGACTCAGGGTCATGTAGGGCATTAGTGTGTGAGCCCACAGGACAGAGACCCAGGTAGGCCTTGGTCTCTGCCTCAGACGGAGCCTGTGTTTGTGCTCAACTGCTCAAGGAAGCCCCGAGCACTCCCAGACACTAATACTGGACAAAGAGGGTCCCCACAGAAATCAATTTCAGAGCCCCTGGCCGCTCCCTCCCGGCTCCAGGCGCCCAGCAGATGGAGGAGGGCTGTGTGGCTGCACAGAGCGGCCCCTGCCTTTGATTGGCCTGTCCTGACCCAGACCGTCAGCAGGTGACAACGTAGGCTCAGGAAGACGGATGTATGCACAGCCCCCGGAGAAACAAAGAAGATGCCGTGGACTCTGGGAGCCCAGCAGGTTCGCCACAGCCGTCGCCAGCACCTCATAAATATTCGCTAAGTGCTCGCATGGAAGCGGGGCTGGTGGGCAGCAGGAAGCGAGGATTTTCAGGAAAATGTCTTTGCTTAGGATGGGAGCGTGTCAGATGCTATGATTTGATCTGCAAAAAGCAATAACATGGGCCAACAGATGCCAGGCTCTTGAAATCTCTCATCCTCGACACTGAGGCTTCTCCTATCCCCTGAGTATCATTGATAAAGGCATTTTTCATGCAAAAGATCCGTCCTCACTTGAGATGAGAAAGCCAAAGCAGAGGATACAATCAGGGCTCTCTCGGCTCATGGACTAGACTCGTGCTGTCCATGCAGCGGCCACTAGCCACGTGTTGCTTTTGAGCACTTGAAATTTGGCTAGTTCGACAGGGACATGTGCACTCCACCTATAACACACACTGGATGTAGAAGGCTTATATGGGGAAAAGAGTAAAATAGTTCCTTCATTATTTTTATATTGATTATGCTGAAATAATCTTTTAGCTATATTGAGTTCATATATTTTAATATATTATTAAAATTCATTTCACCTCTTTTTGAAAATTTTGAACATGTGGCTGCTAGAAAACTTAAAGCTGTATGTGTGGCTCACATTCTACTTTGCGTGGACAGCACTGGGCTAGAGGAGTTTGGACCGTCCTGTGGTTCAGAGTGACTTCTCTCCATGTTCGTTGATAACATGGGTTTCTGAGTTACTCCTTCAGGTTTCCTGAGCCCCATAGATGCCTCTGAGAAGCTAAAGTGCCCTTCCTCCTTTTTTTGTTTTGTTTTAATAATCCTCCCCAAGGATATTTTGTCGATTGATTTTTAGAGAGAGTGGAAGGGAGGGAGGGGGGAGAGACAGGGACAGAGACATTGATGTGGGAGAGAGAACATCAATTGGTTGCTTCCTGTAGGCGCTCTGACCTGAGCCAGGGATCAAACCTGCAACCCAGGTATGTGCCCTTGACATAGAATCGAACCTGTGACCCTTCAGTGCACTGGCTGATGCTCCAACCACTGAACCACACCGGCTAGGGCCCCTTCTTCCTTTTTATCCAAGGAGCAAGTCATTTGAACAAAGGTGCAGTGGGAGGACGGAGGGCTGAGGAGCCAGAGAAGGCCGGGCTGGCTCCATGGCAGGAGGCGCTCTTTCCTTCCTCTTCCTGTGTGGTTGTGTCTGTTAGTGCGCGTTGTTCCTGAAACAGCAGCGCCATAGGTTCTATGCTGGATGTAGGCCCCACAACTCGATCCAAGCTGTGGTCTGCAAGTAACTCAGCTGCATCCTGCCTCAGCCACGGGGCTGGGGCAGCATCCGTGAAGGAGAGAGTATGGGTTTATGGGGAGGAGACGCAAGGCCTTGCTTGCCTGGTGCGCCTGGCGTGCAGGCTCTGCGTCCCGTGTGACTCTGCCCACCGGGATCTGGATGTCCTTATTAGATG